ATTACATCAAGTTCCCTGCTGTGATTCAGAATAGTTGAAATTGATCGGGATTCGCACTTATTTAAAATAATTCACGCACTTGTAATAGTTCAGGTAAAAAATTACTGCGTTAACATTTTGGTTTAAAGAAAACAATCTTGCGAATGTTCGACTCTTTAACCTAAACAGTATATAGGTATGATCAACCACCCCCTTATTTTCTGCCTCGTTTTTTCCCTGTTTATTTTATCATTTTAATTTTTAAACATGAATCGATGTACTCACATTGTATTCCGGCAATCACTCAAACTAATTCAGGATGAAGAGTTATGGAGAAGTTGGTCACGGAAGAACGTTTATCAGGAAATCCGAACAACTCAAACATGCCTGTCTTATTTTGTGTTATCATTTATGTGGATACTCAGTACCCTTTGAACTTTGTTGTTAAACTGTGTCATTTCGCTAGAGTTCACAGTGCGCCATTCCGGTTTGATCACCAAACATTCAATCACTGCAGGATGAACGTGTCACTGAATATAGAGGGCGCAAACACAAACGGACCGGATCCTGATGATGCTCACAGTTTTATTCGTGTTCAAATTGCTTTATCTAGTTGGATTCATTTGTAGCAATCATGTACAGCGTTGATGTCTGTGCACATTATTCGTCCCTTCTGTTCCCTGTCAAGGGCGGATCCAGAACACAATTTTTTGGGGGGTAGCCCCCCCCCCAAAAAAAATTAAAAATTGGTCCCCGGAAAGTGGGTCAAAAAAATTACGGCGTGGGGTTCAGGGCCCGCTTAATCATGGGCCCCGAATTTTCTGTAATTCTAAATGCTCTGTGGCGATCTGAGGAAATTTCTGACAACTTTAACCCTTTTTTTGTTTCGAAAAGATGGTAGTGTACCCAGTGCCTGCCTTTATTGTGACGTCACTTAAAAACAAAATGGGCAGGGCGGGGGGGGGCATGGTCCCCTCCCCCCCCCCCCCCCTGGATCCGCCTTGTCGGCTGTTCGTCTTAAAATATGAAGCACAAGCTCTGTTTGCATGCAGGGTTCCACTCAGCATGCCACTTAGATTTCGTTAATATTTTCTTGAAATGGCGATAGTAGTATTTGCTGAATACTTTGAAAGTGTTTGGTCAGTTGGTACACAAATAATAATAAAAAAAAATATGGGACATTATTCGGTTAACAAACAAATGGGGGATGATGCTAGTAGTCAAACCGGTGCGCTGATTTCCGATCCGGAACATAATTATTTTTGTAACGACCGTACCTTGACTGCGGTGCCCACCTGATTTCCGCCACTACTTCCTTGGTATGAGATTGATTGTCCTTGGTAATGCAGAAAATGTATGTTCATTGTGATTCCTACAATTTCAAATGCAAGCAATTTAAAAAAGAAAACAAAGGATTATTTGCTTTTGAGTCTTTTTTTTCGTGCGAAGCAACAAAATGGCTTAAAAACTTAAGAAGGTCGCAACTAACATGTTGAAGTTTCATCTCAGTGGATACTATCATTGAGAAAAAGCAGAGAAAACGTATGCACTATTTTGTTGGATCTCGTTACTTGATTCTGTGCTTTATAACACCTGAACTATTTTTTTTTGAATTTTAAAAACACCTGCAAAGTTTTCAACCGATATAGGCCCTATCAGGCGAAATACTTTCACCTGGTATTTGATACCAGTTTTATCTTCACTCTCAGCATTGCAAGGTTTCTGTCATTAAATGTACTTTTCCGGGCAATTGCAAATGATCCTACGCGGCCTTAAATTCTTTTTTGCATACAGATTTCTCTCAGAAAATCTGGGCATTTGTTTTGGTAGTTACTGCGTTTGATTCGAAAATATTAAATCCTTCAAAGAAGACATGAATATTGTTGCTCGTGCGTGGGTCTGTTCAGGGCCGTTGCATGCAGGACGCATTCCGCTTAAAAAATATATTATCAATCCAGATCACATTTCGCCCGACAGAGATTTTGATCTGGGGGTGTTTTACTTGTGAAATTCAGCTATGCCTCCCCCAACAGCCCCCAAGATATCTCCCAGCGGATTTTCAATGACTCATTTTCGTTGGTATTATTTCCAGCTCGCAATCTGCTGAGTGTTGAGGATTCCCTTCGTGATAGAATTCAAGAACGTTACATCGAGGTGAGTGTCTGTTATTTGACATTTTCCTGACTCAATCATCAGAACAGAGCAGTGATTTTGGTGGAAGACTGTATTTTTTCCATATATTTATACACCTTTTGGTCAAAATTTATAACAGAAAACATCGCTCAAGTGATAGGGCCTATACAGGGCGAGTCAAAAAAGCGAACCCTAATGTCGGGACCATAATAGTGAAGTTCTGCATGTAGCCCTTTCAAAATCTAGGATATGAAAGCCCAATTCATAGGCTTTTGTTTAGTACAATAATCATTCAAATCACTCATGTACGTTTAGAACATGAGGTTAAGGAATTTTAAACACAACCACCGTTTTAAAGTTCTGTCCACGGATCACGAGAAAGTAAGTGTTCTTTCAACAAAACGAAAACAAATCACATATGCGTGAATTGTTTTCGTTTTGCTAAAAGAACGCACACCTTTTTGTGATCCGGTTGTGTTTAAAATTGCGTAACTTGAAAAGTACATGAGTGATTTGAATGATTCTTGTACTAAAAGAAAGCTTATAAATTGGGCTTTTATATCCTTGATTTTCAAAGTACTACATGCAGAACTTCAATTAAACAATAGTCCCGACATTTGGGTTTCGCTTTTATTTTTACTCACCCTGTAGTAGTGAGGAATTCCCTCCCCTAACACGCACCGTAGAACTGTGCCTAACATTTTGGCCTGCAGTCTTTGCAAATTCCTCGTCAAATTCATCAATGTGCCCCGAACTAATGGCGGACACACGCTCAAATTTCCTTTCACATTTTTATTGAAATATTAGTTTGTCAAAAAAAGAGAACTAAGATGGAAACAAATGTTTAGTTATTGTGTAATCAGATTCTTTGGCATTTATCTTCTTTTTGTATCCTTGTTCATCGTGTTCGCATTTTTTTAAAATCAAAATTGTGTTCGCAACCATTGTCCTCATTCTTTCGTGATCGTTGATCACGTTGTAATTCGTTTGTGATTGTTTATCACGTTAGGGAATCATCATAGCATAGGTTTTCCCGTCCAATTTTGCAAGTTGTTTATGCAATCAGACAGACTGTTCATTACATTTCAAAAAGTGGCAGTTAACGCATTCGATTTTATTTGAATATTTACACCCAGCAAAGAGTGTAGGCAACTTTTTCGTGCAAAAGAAAATCCATTTCTTTTGTTGGTTTTGGATTTTGCACTGAGTATAGGCGAATCTGTAAGAGGAAGTTTTCATTTTCAACGAATGTGCAATGGAATAAATCGCCAATCGTACTGGCCAAAAAAAAAATATATGATTTTTAATTTTTGCAACAATTAACAAACTGGTCACTTAATTATCCTTACATAAAAACCTGTATTTTGACATAGTATTTTATCGGCGAGTGTTCTAAATGTGTTTCCTTCTATCACTTTGACACTTTACATTGATACAGTTCAGTTCTGCTTTTTTCATATTCCCTTCCCAGGCATTCCAATCTTTGAAATAGCTGTACATTCCTTAATCCAAACTTGTCAAAAGCCATGTCATTTTATAGGACTCTGTTTTATCACTATAACACAATATCTTGCTAATGCAACTGCCAAATATCATTGAACTGTGTTACTTTTGTAAACGTATGCATCAAAGTGAATTCCCGAGCGGGACTGAAATTTAAAGCACAAGAAATTCAATGCACAAGTCACGTAATTTGCTGCTTACTTTTCACGCGTGAATGAAGAATACCCTGAAACATGTTGAGCTTTCGCTAAATTCAACCGGGTGTGAAAAGGTCTGCATGTTTTATGCGATTTTGAATAAAAATGTTTTATTATTATTATTAGCAAAGTATGAAATTGGGCGGGAAACCCTATAATATTTCATAGTGAATGAAAAAGTTCATTTCTGCTTTAAAACTCATAGTGAACTGGAGTTAAAAGTACATTTGCCTGGACAAGTGCAACGAAAGCTTAGAATGCCAACAGACTTTTGACCGAGTTACTAGTGTCTCAAAAAAAGATACATGCCTTCACAAATATTAATTTGAAAAAAAAAATCGTTTCAATAATAACGTGTAAACAAATTGAAAGCTTATTTCACGAATCAGTCAATTCGAGAGAAATTGAACAATGCGACATTAAAACAGGTTGTTTTTCTTGACGAATTCGGCCGAGAAAACCTACTATTTTAATTACTTGACCCTAATAACTTGGTGAGTATCCTGTTTTTGAGTGGCAATGGATCCCAATGAGAAAAAAATCTCACTCATTTATCTTAAATGATAATAAAATAGTAACTTAACCAGTATTCGTTTGTATGTTTTTTTCAGCCTACACTGAATTCCTTGTGATCTCTTCTTGGACCTGATCTTCAAGAACGAACCATCGAGGTGGGTGTGGTGAGGTTTAATTAATGATTCTATCAGGACCGGGGAAGGGGCAAGATGTAATCCGTCCCCCCCCCCAAAAAAAAAATACTACAGCTCCGGAACGCTTCGCCCTATCGGAATGCATTTTGGTGACCTTTCTTAACTCTTATTGGCGGGCGAAATAAAAAAAAATCGATTCGATGGGTTGCCATGACAACCGGTTTTATAAACTAGGCTTCTCATAAATGTTAGCCCCTTGATCCCTCATACGCCACTGTTATATAACAAAGAAAACATTCTTCGAACAATGATTCCTCCAATCTCATTATTTTTTGGTTTTTTTCCTTCAAATCTGACGGCGGATTGTCATGCATTTTAGATTAGTTCTCCTGTTTATCAAACCTCAATATTTTTCTCTACTCTTCCCGTTTTTAAAAACTATTTTATTGAAAAAAAATCTCACCTGATTTGTTTCAGTTTAATCGTTGTTATTCTGTACAGAATGAAGATCTTCGTGGCAACCGTTATTCCAATCGCCCTCCTTCTGGGTAACTCCGTCAACCTCCGAGCTTCCGTTACTGGGCCGGTTGCCTCGGACGGTGATGGTCCTGCGTCTCAGGCGGGCCAAACGTGCTGCCAGGAAACAGCTGCAATTGTCGGAATTTTACAAGGGTCAAAGGGTGATGCAGGTCAAAAAGGAGAGCCGGGTGACGACGGCAGAGGCCTGCCGGGCAAGATGGGACCAAGAGGTTTAGTTGGGCCAACAGGGGAAACTGGTGTCAAAGGTCAAAAGGGCGATATCGGCCCCCGGGGTCAGCGGGGAGCACGTGGTGTCAAAGGTCAGTTTGGGCTCCAAGGTCGTACTGGTATTGCAGGCGAGCCAGGGCTTATCGGACCGATTGGCCCTCAAGGTGACACTGGGCCTAAAGGTTCAGTCGGGCAAACCGGTCAGACTGGTGTCAAAGGTCAAAAGGGTGAGCCAGGGGAGGCACCAGACGACTCCAACCAGCGGGTAGCATTCACCGTGGTGAGGACGAGCAACTCGGATACCTCTACGAGTGTCGACACCCGTTTGCCCTTCCAGGCGACCGAGACGCTTCTGCCGGGTACCAGCTTCGATCTCGAGACCGGCACGTTCACGTGTGGTGTGCCGGGCACCTACGTGTTCATGTTTTCTGTGCTCAAATTGTCTTCCAGCAGCAACCTGTACGTTTATCTCCGGAAGAACGGCGACGTGGTTGTCTCTGGCTATAGCGATGATTCAAGTCACTGGGAGCAGGTGTCTGGGAGCGCGGTGGTGGTTCTGCAGCGTGGAGATACGATGTATCTCACAATGTACGGTAGGGCGTATAGTGATTCCAATCACCTCACCTCATTCAGTGGCTTCCTCCTTTACCCCGAATAAACACAATCCAACACATAAAGATACACGAGCATCGTGTTGCTGATTTTTTTAATCGCTTTCCATTTTGCCGAAACAATAACCAATGAATTAAAAGAAATAACGTTCAATGACTATATGTCACAAAATATTATTATTAATGTTTTTGCATTGCGCATGCGCTGATCTGTATACAACAATGGATTTGCCAATTTTTTTTTGACTATCTGCAAAACAAAATATTTAGCTTTATATGCATGAGTATTGAGATATAGTGAAAAGTATGCGTTAAATTTTTGACGATATTTTTTGGTACCCATTGTAGGCCTATCGAGAAGTATTTTGATGGAATATTTTTTCAAAGTAAGCTGGGTCATTATTTTTTGTAGAAACAAAAGATTTGCAATATAAAAGCAGTGCCACCATGTATCCAGAAATGTTAACAACTAAAAAAAAAATGTGTTTATGGTGTTATCTCGAACAACCTGAATTTTTGAGGCCATGTTTCTGACCGCCATTTTTTTTTTAGGCAACATTTGGTCAACATATAAAATAACGTGTTTCTTTTCCCGAAAATAAATGCAACTTGTTTGTAGTATTGGGTATTTAAAACAGATTAATTAAACACAATAACTGTATCCTAATTGAAGCAAACAAGGTATAAAAGACATACAGACAAACAAAATATTTTGCTACCTACCTGGATAATTTTAGAGTGTTTACTATAACATGTTATTTTCTTCGCCTTATGTTCCCTGTATGCCCAGCACAGATAATGTCAATTAAATCAATCCCATGTATGTATCAATTTTTATTTCATGTCACGAAAAAAGTCTCGAGTGATTGAATCTGATTTTCTTATAGACTTTAAGCTTGGCATTTGGATTAACAATTGTTTGAAATATTCTAATGCTATTCACAGCAATTAGAATACACTGGTTTTTATTAAATGATTGCATTATTTTAAACGTTACAATATGTGAGAATTATGTAAAAGTAGTACAATTGACTGGCTATGAAAACAGTATGCATAAAACCTCATTCTGAGGATTACCAAAAGCACCACCATTGTTGAAAAATACTCTCTTTTTTTTGCTTGGCTTCGTTATGAAAAAAACATGATTTTAATTACTTTCAGTTGAAACAGAAATGTGCCTACAGTAATGAAAAAAGTGGAGTTGGCTGTTGTTTTTAAATCCCGCAAAAGTGAGACAAGTGTTTCTTGATTAAAAGACTCCAAATTATTTGAAGACTTTTATTGTTCTTAATCAGTATTACTTGATTGCATTCAAGAAACTCACTTTGAAAACATCAGTGAAAGTGTGAGCCCGTTAGATGGTAAAGAAACAATCTCAACGAAATCAATCAAAACAAAGTACAAATCCATTCAAGTGAGGAGGGTCTTTCAACTGGTCGGAATTGTCCTTTATCATTTCAAGTGAATTTCTTTGTATTGACTTTTATTTGGATGCCATATTTGGCATCCCTGCTGACAGCATATCCTTGGATAATGTCTCCAGCCGGCACATGTACATGTAAGCTGAACAAGTATGCTTCCTGGGAATAGGTAGACTCCTGCAAGAAATCAAAGAAAAGGTTATAATGGACCCTTCCTGCATGTCAATCAACAGTGCACATTGGCCAATCAGATCACCACTTTTGATCAGGTGACCACAGTAGCTCAGTCAGACTGGGTCACAAGCACTGTTAGATCTATTGCTCACCCCGCCCCCATTTTTTGCACCAGCAGTTAACACCTCCCCCCCCCCCCCCAGTATTCTGTAAAGAGTGCCCTTTTTACACAGGTAACTTTTAGTTTTTACACAAGTGTCCTTAGGTTTGTTTAAAAAGTTTCTTGTTTCGGCAGCGGCTTTTAAAGAATTTTTGGTATTTCGTGTAAACGTCAGCAATTGTGCCGCCATGAAAAGCGCCACCCATTGACCTACCGCCATTTGCGAGTTAACCACGCCCCTTAGACAACTCTATAACCCATTTCGCTGATACCGCCATCTTTGAATTATTTTTTTCGAGGGGGGGAGGCATTACAATGAAAATACGTCTCATCATGCAACTGTAGCTGAGAATGATGGGATGTCTTTTCATTGTAATGCACCCCTCCCCCCATTTCAAAGATGGTGGTATCCGCAAAACAGCTCATGGAATTTTGTACGTTAATGTTTGTTTGTCTCAGATTTTGGCGTTCTGCGTCCATTTGTATATCATGTTTAGACAATATTTCACAAGCTGCGTTGAAAGAAAAAGAAAGATTTCAGGCGAAAAAATGGAGTGATTTATTGATGTTTAATAAAGTCGAGTTCCATGCACTTGGCAAATCAAATGAACTGAGAGTTGTACGGAAAAATGGATTGAAAGTGATCAATCTCATTATTGAAAATCACCCACCAGAATGTCAAAGGTTGGACACAATTAACAGATGTTGCAAGACTGGACTTAAAATCACACAAACCAGGGACTAAGCGTAAAGTGGATACTGGGAAAGCTGTAAGTGCATTGTATCCATGCATGGACAAAAGAGGGCGCTTTATAGTCAAACAAGCAGAAGCCGGAATGAGGGACACTTCACTGCTTCACTCATGCTGGTTATCGTGTATTTGGTACCAGCATTTATAAGCCATTATGGCGCCCAAATGGCCCTCGTTTATAGTTTTCTCTGTTGGGGGGGGGGGGGGGGTTGCTTGAGTGCAAGAAGGAGATTCTACCTTCTCCTTGAACGTAGTGACTTCTTCCTTGCTGATCTTCCACGGAAACTTCTCCGTGGTCTCCCTTGCTTCCTCATCCAGCATCCAGGGTTTGGACAGCTCCTTGAACCGTCTCAGGCTTTCAGTCCTTGGGCTTCTTGTTCAGGTCCGGGATGACCTCCATGTCCGAGCAGTTGATGCGGAACTTGCTGAGCATGTTGGCCTTGTTCATCTTCTCCCTGTCCATTTGCTCCTTCTTGCCCATGGTGGCAAAGACGCGCAGCCTGCATTTCTCCCAGTTGGATTTCAAGGAGATGAGGTTGGGATGAGTAGGGTCAAGCCTGGGGGGGGGGGGATGGTGGTGGGAGGTAGGGGCTGAGGGGGGGGGGGGGGGTTCACAAACAAAAATTATACAGAGCATTATTTTCCTTTGACATAAAGCATGTGTTTCCTTCGACATCCAGAATAACCCGAGAGATCTCTGAAAGGCTCCCTGAAATGAATAGGACACTGAAACAAAATAATAAAGCCAACCAAGAACAAAAAGTGTGGTGTTTTCTATTAGGCCAAAAAAAAAAGTCGGTCTCTGGTCGGCGCGCGCGTCGATTTTAATCATGCACGTCAATCTTTTTTTTCCAAAATGTTTCGCGGTAGCTCCGACAGCGCCCTCTATTGCCGCATCTCCGAGAGCACCAAGGCAAATTATGGAGGACACCAATGTACATGAGGACACCAAAAAAGCAAAATAGTACCCCACCTTTGGCCAAGTTCGCACAAGGACTATAGTTGACCAATGGTTAACTAACGTTTGCCCGAACTCTGTCTAGTCGACGGTGATTTACTACGCTAGTCGACTATTTGGAACCAGCCTACTGGGGTTGGTTGCTTCGCTGGTAACCAATAGCCGTGCGTATTCATAACGCTAGCAGAGAGCCAGGATCCGGAAGTTTTGCGATGACATTTTGACCAGCATTTGACTAGAGACGTTCGCACGTTGCTATCAGTGCGCAGGCGTAAGGTACGTCACAAATCAACCACTAGTTAACTAATGGTCCTTGCCCGAACTTGGCCTTGTCTGTACAATCCAAGCTTGAAAAAAAAAAAAGCAAAAAAAACCAAAAGCCACGTCCCCGCATCAATTCCGGAACTTTGGTCTGACCAGAGACCGAATATTTTTTTTTTTTGGCCTTACATATAAAAAACAACTGTGTGGTAGGGTAGGTAAAAATCTGTTTTCGGGGGTTTGACATTTCTATAGCCTAAAAATATAAGGTGGGATGATAGTCATTAAAATCCACTTTTCTTCTCTATTTTGCATGCATTAGTTAACATGTGAATCATTCTGCACTTCTGACCAACTTACACAAAAACAAAAATAAAGTTTATAGTTTTCACTATAGGAGGGGGGGGGTGCTTGAGCGCAAGGAGGAGATTGTACCTTCTCTTTGAGCGTGGTGACTTCTTCCTTGCTGATCTTCCAAGGAAACTTCTCCGTGGTCTCCAGGCTGCTTCCTCATCCAGCATCCAGGGTTTGGAGAGCTCCTTGGTGATTGTGTTGGTCTTGATCTTACCCAACCCACCAATCTAGACGGAAACCAATCAGGAAGGAAAATTTGAATGCATTTGCTCTAAATAAATCGTGTCCAGGTCTTGGAAAAGACCAACGTTAGTGCTGATAAAAAGCGAGAAACCTCAACAAATCTGGTTTAATGATCTTGTTATACATTTTGCAACTTTGACTTAATTCTTTAAAGACCTGCTTGCATTTTACTCAAACTGTTCATCAAAATTCATTCCGCAAAGTCTGTGAGTACACATTTCGGTACTCAAAATACTCATCGAAATATTCTGCTCACCCTGTATGTTGAAATCACAAAAACTAGGTACTACGCGTTAAGTTACGGAAGACAGATAGTGCCACTCAATGAGTGTGAATATATTTTTTTTGTGCGTGTGGGAATATTTTTTTTGTACTGCGGCCGCCACTTATTATGTGGCGGCCGCTACATAAGTCATCATAATAAGTGGCAGCCGCTGTGCAAAAAAAATATTTACACACGAACAAAAAAAATATATTCACACTTTTTTATGTGGCGGCCGCCAGATAATAAGTGGCAGCCGCCACATAAAAAAGTGTGAATATATTTTTTTTGTACAGCGGCCGCCACTTATTATGGCGTCTTATGTGGTGGCTGCCACTTATTATCTGAAGGCCGCCACATAATAAGTGGCGACCGCTGTACAAAAAAATAATTTTTCACATGCACCAACGAAAAAATGTTCACACTCATTGAGTGGCACTATCCATCTTCCGTATAAAGTGGG